CCATTTAAGATATTTATAAGTTCCTTTTAAGCTTATATTTCGTTCTGACTCTTTTTTTTTGTGCTCGGGAACGTGGTCAGCTTTGGGTCAGGTCATGCAGAAAGGATCCTTTCCGACTTCAGGGGACTCCTGATCAAACACTGATAGTTCCTGTTATAAGAAAATTATATAAGGGAAAAAAACCCGATCAACAGTGCAAAAAAATGCTGAAGTGTGAGGATAATCTTACAAAATTTCATTAAATATTTTATGTCTTTCTAAGGCTGCGTCTTTCTAATATCAGAAGGAACATATAATTTACTGATTACTTCTGCATCAAGTGAAGTCTGGCTATTTCCTTCAGTGTCTTCAGAGACTATTTCTGGACAAAATGATTACTTTTCTGTTTTCCTATCCAATGGTGGGAAATTCTATGCCTTACCTATTCAATGTTAAGTAAGTGTATTCTTAATGAAATTATATATCTGCATTATGGAAAAAATCCAATTTATTTTTTTAATGATCTTGAAAATAAAGAGAGTTCCTCTAGGGGTGAGATTTTTATCATTTATTCTTGTGGTTTAGAATGAAGCCTAAACAAGTAGGTTACCAATTGATTTTTAAGTATGAATTACATAAGAACATGCTGTATTTTTTTAAAATAATTAGTTTTCAATCACTGATAATCAAGCCATTGACTCCCCAACTGACCATAGAATAATGTGGCATTTTAGTTAATGAGATTATGATTTAATGAGATTGGTAATTTATTTTTGTTGTCTGATTGGACTGTATTCTTTTCTGGAAAGGCAACATAGACATGGTACATATCAACCTGAACTACACATTGTGCTTGGGGTTTATTTTATAAAATTCAAGTATGGATTCAGTATATTCCATAGCTAGTATTCTAATTAACTGGTGTATTACATAAAGGCAGTTCATCAACTGTCCATATTAAATGTCTGTATTGTGTGGTCAGTCTATTTGTGTGTTCAGTTTTGTGATGTGATTGGAAGTTTCTTGAACCTATAACCAAGGCAAATATTGCTGGTAGTAGGAAGGGGAAAAGACATTCTTATAGACCATAATTATCTTGAAATTGTGTATAACTAAAAGACAAGCAGAGGATAAAAAGCCCTGATCAGCTGCCTAGGATATATTATATTACCACCCACCAATTTATCCATCATCCTTTGAAAACATATTCATGCCTTTTGTAGTCAAAGCTCCTTCAGGAAACTGGCATTAAGATGTAATGCTGAAAAATTATACACCTCTGGTAAAACCTACAGCCCTATATACATGCTGGCTTCTAGAAAGTATTTTAAACATTTGAGAGCACTTCTGTTCGTTCTATAATCTTCAATCTTACTGTAAGGGCATAAATACTAAGAGTAGTATATAACATAAGCAATTATATGGCAACTTCTGTGACTGATCATAAAATAAAACTGTTTGCACTGGTAAACGGAAAATATATTCAATAATAAAATGACTTCAGATTAGGCATTAATATTATTTCCAGTTTCTTCCATCATTTGGGTACATTCAACCGTGTGAAATGGTTGCTTACGTTTTTTTCCCTCACAGAGGTGAATCCAAAACATTGCTTTTGTGAAAAGGGAAAATGCAAACCTGGAAGAAGCGATCGAGCTGGTGGCCAGGGCTGTCCAAGATTCCATTTTCAAAGAGCACTGTTCTGATTCCACACTTCTGTGTCTGTGAACTAGAGAATATGTTCTCATGGGTTAAAAAAAAAATACCCCTTAGAGTACTTGCAATTAGTCTTTTTTATTCCCTAAAATAGAAGAACAGTGCTTCCCTTTTCCTTTCCCACAGTTCTCGTTTCTCCTGGGTGGACTTGGTCTTTCTGAGTGTCAGAGAAAAGTTTCTGTAGAGCTGCTTTACCTGGAGATGGAAATAAATTGTTGTACAAGGGCTACTGAAAGGAGAAAAATTCTATATCCAGTAATTTATGTTCTTTAGCAATAAACCTTGTATTTACTATCAAAATAGAATCCTCCCTCCTTTAAACTGACACTCATATAATACATTATTGAAAAGAAAATATTTACCCTTCCTGACGTACCATCTGGTGTCCTTTAAATGCTAAAAATTAACATAATGAAAAAGAGCCTTAAATTCAAGTGAATTTAAGCTCTTTAAATGTTGTTGCAGTTAGAGATCAACAGTGAATTTTATCCCCTTAATATTATTTCCGGTTTCTTCCACCATGCTTGGGATAACAACTGCGGTGCAAAATGGTTGCCTAAACCCACGTGAACAACACACTTATTGATACATCAATAGATAATGTTTTAAATTCTGAAGTACTATTAATTATACAGTTACTGAAACCCCTGAGGATCAAAGGATTTTATATAAGGGGGATTTCACATACAGCTTGGATTATGTTGCCAAATAATAGCACAGTAGTACTTCTTTAGAATTGTAAAATAGCCTAGAGAGGAGTATGATGCCTATAGTTGGTGTAATGCATTGGTAATTAAGAGGGTGTGAGGTTAAGCTTCATTAACTGCTGTGGGATTGTATCTTGGATTTTATTATCCCCCGGAGAACGTAAGAAGTGAGAGAGGTCAAACCGTTAGAATCTGGTTTTGCTTCGTGCATCTGCCAAAACAAGGCAGGCGAAGTGACGTGGCAGCCAACCCAGGAAGGACCTGCGTTGCTGGCAGGCACAGGTTGTACGCTGCTTTATTGCAAAGATAAAAAGCTTTATTACCAAAATCCAGCGCTTCGTGTTTGCAGTAAAACCTCCGTCGCTTGGTTTGCAGGAAACAAAATTATTTTCATTGCGTTGTCATTTGCTGTGAGCACTTTGGAAAACCGTTTTTCTCTCCCAAACTTTTTTTTTTTTTGCATGCTTTCTTCTCTCTGTCCCAACTCCCCTTAATAACTTTAACACTTGTCTGCCTTTTTGTGTGTTCATGCTGCATAGCAAAGACTTGTATTTTAGTTGACCCCTAGAAATGCTGCTTTTTTTTTTTTATTATTTATTTTAACTAATGCACTGCTACCTGCTTTGTTGTTTTTTTATGTACCTTATGAAAGATTTGTCTTTTTTTAGCCTGGGAGAATGTAGCACTTCTCAGAAGCTGACACGCTGATGCCACAAATTTTTCAGTCCCAAAGCTTTTCAGTGATGTGGGAGCTGAGATGTTTTTAAAGAAAAAAATAGATTAAATAGAGATATTATTGGCTGATAAATCAACTCTCCTTTTCTTAGTCCGTTGTTTAGATAACGCTTTTTATTTCCAAATTCTGGCTGAAATTTTGGAAGTAAAGAACAGTCTGGAAACTGAAGAGTGCCTTGTAGTTCTTGGACAGTGATTAAACTTTTCATGGCACTGAAGAGTGAAGTACATAATCCAACCAGCCAGCCTTTACCTTGGAGAATAAACCTATTTTATGACAACTGGAGGCATTCAGTTATCAGTGTCAGAAGAAGGGGAGGCCTTTTGTTCCCCTTCTAGTTATCATGAAGAATAAAAGAGAATAATGAAGATAAAAAGAAACACGTGGATCATTTCAATGTTTCCAGTATTGCCCATAAAGCAGGTTTATTTAACCTTCTACGTGTGTAATTCTCCCCAGTCCCAAGCCTACTGAGCAATTTTAAGCTTTCTCTCCCTTTTTCCAAACGTGCTTGTACAAAGTTCTAGTTGAAATGTAAAAGTTTGGTTGTTTTGGGTTTTTTTTTTGGAAGTTGAGGACTGGGCTACATGAATCAGTACATCTTAAGGAAAAACCAAAATTAGTGACCCACCTGGGTGTTCTGTTTGTTTAGTTTTTGGGCAGGCTGATGAAGGCGTGTTGGCTTCCAGCTTCAAACTGCACCTGCATGTTCTGCCTCTCTTCCTCGTAGTTACTGTGAATGGCAGGGAAAAGGGGATAAACAGAAGCTGGGAAGGTAGTGATGAGGTTGGGATGCAAATCCAGGGGTAAACAACCTTTATTAGTGCTGGTTGGTATTCTTTATGGTAAATTCATTCCTATTACAGATACACTCTGACCTCGAATAAGACTGGAATTTTTTTTCCCCCCTGTTTGTGCTGAAGTACAACATCTTGGAATGTATTTAACCAAGTTAATGTAGCAGGTTGAGCTCAGGCAGTTGGTTTTCAAAACAGCAGGTGTTTCCAAAGGCAGACCACCTTTTCCAGATTGCAGCTAATGATGCACAAAGCCTGCTAAGAGCCCGTGTAGTTCACAGCCAGCACATACAAGGGTATGATTGAGGATGTGTTTGCTTAGGATGGGGTGTGTTGGGATAGGAAATGGCAGGCCTGTGAGACCTCATGGCCCCAGAAACGTTTTAAATCATCTCAATGCGTTGTGTGAAATTGTTTCTTACATAAGGGTGAGAGCACGGTACATCCCAGAAACACGTTCTTCAGCCTGGCAGTTCTTGGGTAAAGGCATTTTGGAAAAGCAGGTGAGGAAATAAGAATTGTTCTTAGTATGGGAGAGCTCTTCAAGTGCTCCTGGCTCCTTTTGTGGGGCAAAGGAAGGGACAAGGCAGCACAAACCAGTCCTAATCTGGTGCCCGTGCCCACTGCCACAGTAGGGAGTCATGGCTTTCTCATGTTGCTTTGGGGGGAATTTAGTCACCTTTAAGTCATTTTCTAGTGCTACAGGTTTTTTTATTATGTCAAAATAAAAATTCTTCCTTCTGTCAGAAGTTAAAAGTAAACTACCTTGGCAAGAAGAAAAAAGAAAAAAAAAGAAAAAAAAAAAAAGGCTGTTTTGGGTGGATACCGTGATAGGTTTTCATCTCTGGCAGCCCAAAATCTTTATCAGCTTCAGGTGAAAGCATTTTTCCTTGATCTCTTAATCTGCTCCGTTCTTAGCAGCGGTCAGGGCACACCACAGTGCCTAATGGTGTTGCACTGATGGTGTCTCTGTCCCTGATTGTTTTGGGCTGAGTTTCTCGGGTGTCAACAGCTCGGGTTTGTGGTGTCTCCCTGCCACAGAGGGCCACGGGAGAAGGTTTTATAGATAGATAATATTAGATACCTTAGAGAAAATATTGGTGTTGTTTTTCTTGTTATCTCCAGGAGAGGTGAATGGGAAAATATGGCATTTTCTGGATTTTGGCTTTGCAGGTGATGTGATGCCTGCCCAGGGTGAGGTTGCAACTTTTTGCATCAGTGGTTGTTTCTGAACTGGGCCAGCTCAGGGAGTTTGAAATGTTCAGGCAGGATTTTATGATCTCTATCAGGCACTTGTTATCAGAAAAACTCCCCACCACTATAAAAAGTTACAGGTAGTGCCTGGGAGCCGATTGATCTTGGTGAATGAAAGGAGATATCTGGATATTCCAGATTTGTTTCTTTGCAGAACTCTCTTTTTTTTTTTTTTTAATGGAATTCAGTGGATTTGGGTTTTTTTAATTGCTATAATTGAGGAGTATTTTGAGATGATCAAGTATCAGCAGCCCTTTGCTGAAAGACCTTTTTATGGTAGGAAGTTTCCATCTGTGAATATTCGGAAATCAAATCTGCACAACAGTTTCACAGTGTGTTTTCAAAGTAGCACCTTAATTGGAAAATAAGGCTAATTAACTCCTTGTTGTGGATTTCTGAGTTATAAAGTCAACAATGCAAAATAGCATATTTTTTTCTTTTTCTATAAAAATACTTTATATAATGCTCTTAGGAGTGAATGTAGAGGATTTGGATCTGCGTGGATGTGAAATGCACTGGGGTGCTTGTCAGCTCGTGTTTGTATTTATGCTTTCTCAGAACCTTTCAGTGCAGTGTTCTGTTTTCACTTCCTCCTGTCTGTCAGAAATCCTTGTCTCTGGTTTGAAAGCTTCCCTGCTTTCTTACTTAATTTTTACCACCATAGTAATATGAGTTTATTGCATAAGAGTGCATCTTTTAAATAAGCTGCAAGAAATCTGGGTGTGTAACTGTGCATAATAGCCATTACCAGGCTTTAGTTTCTTTGCAGAAAGAAAATAAATGAAATAAAATTCTTTGCTCAAAGGTGTGCCTTCTGTCTTCTGCTTAGCTGCTGGAATACAGAGGTAGAGTTTTTCTATTTCTGCAACTTTATCGAAGTTATAAAGTTTATAAAAGTTTTCGTGGCTTCCATTGCCTCTTATCTCAAAGGGTGTAATGACCAACCTGTGAAAGAGGCAGAAATAACTGTCCTGAAATTAGAATTCTGATGTTTTTTAAGCAATTGTAAATTCTATGTTAATTGACAGTAAAGAATCCAAATAGCACATGTGGCTTGTAAGATGATGTTTAGAACTATGTACATGTTTTCTCTCCTGTGTTCTTTAATACTGAATTAGTGTAACACTAAACCCAAAATGAAGTTTAAATTATTAACTGGCTAGCTCTGTGTGTTTTTAACCCTGGAGACACATCTCAGGTCTCTCTCAAGAGTCACTGATAAATGAAAGCTTAGTTTTCGAGTAAGTCTTGATCTGTTTGAAGCAGATAAAGAGATCTGTGCCCTCCAGCTCACAGAGAGGGTGTGATAAAGTCGGGTCAGAAAACTTGATTGCCCTTCATTTCTCCAGGAGGTGTAAAAACCCAGGGCATGGATTCGGAGTGCTTGGTACCCACACAGTGATGTACAGCAAAGGTAGAAAGTGTGTGTGTGTTAAAAACTTATAAAAAACCCAGGATTCAAAATCTTCCCCTTTCTTTCACTCCTTGTGTTTGTGTTCGTGGAGGAATCCATGAGAAAATTCAAACCATCCTGTTACAGTGGTTTTCAGCTGCTGCCTGTAGGCTGTTGTGGTCTGTTGAAGACTTTTGAAAGACTTACAGAAGCTGTCAGAGATCTTAACTTTAAAATAGGCTTAAATTCACTATGCAGGGAATTTACCCAGTCTCAGAAATGGAGTCATTTAGGAGATCAACATTTAAAGAAAGATTAAAAAAAAAAAAAGAAAAGGGAGTATGGGTGCTGCTCAACTTGTGTTGTTTGTATCGAGTAGAATATAAAATGTGGTATTTCCGTTCTGCATTCTTAATTTTATTTGCTCTCTGCCTGTAGGAACTTCCAGCCCCTCTGCTTGATGATACCTCTGGAGAGGAACTGGGAGATGAAGCAGCAACCCTCAAGTCTGAGGATTCTCAGGATTCTATGAAAATAGCCTGGCGCTACCAAAATTTACCAAAAATGGAGGTAATCACCATTTCCTAGTTTTTCCCTCTTGCACTCAAAATGAATTTGAAGAGCAAGTGCTTTTCAGTAGAATGTAGAGGAGAGAAGTGCTAGTGGACACTGTTTGCGGGATTGCTTCTTGAGGGTAAATTGTGATGCACCACTGTTTTTTTTTTTTTAATTACTAGAAATAGAAAAAGAAAGGGGTTTTGAGAGTTTGCAGGAAGTGTAAAACTTAATATGGACAGTAATAATTTTAAAGTAAAAAACGTTAAAGTTCCATGGGATTTTTTTTTTTTAGTGAGATAGCTTTTTATGGAAGTTTGAAGGACGTGCTCGCTTTTAAGCTTTCCCCAAAGTTAGTTGTACACAAATCACTTAAGTAGGTTTAATCAGCACTGCTTACCAGATCTCTGCAGTGAAAGTACTGTGTTGAAGCAAACTGTTGACCTGCTTATCCATGTGCATAACAACTAAAGTAAGCACTTGAGATTATATCAGCTTCACTGTCACTAGAAACGAATCACTGTGCAGGGGCAACACAAGAAACAAGCCCAGTGGTCAGTCTTTCAGAGTTTACAGTTGTGTTTGTGAATAATCAGTCTCCCATGGCTGGTGACTTTCTTATTTAATTCAGTGGCACAATCAGTCTTTAACAAAATTACCACCTTTTTTTACTATCCAGAATAAAACCCCCTGTTTTGTCTAGACATTTTAGCCTGCGTTTATAAATCCTGGTTTAGGTCTGGCCATACCTGCCTAGTAAGTTCAGTCTTATTCTTAAAAACATAATTGGGATGTGACAAAATGATCTTACAGGGCTTGGCATGTTTGGTTTTCTGTGAAATTGCACAGACGTGGCTCTGTAGTTGTGTCAGAAAAGACTTATATCTGGTGACATGCAAAATCCAGCAGCCTCCGGGGCAATCATAGAATCTCATCAATTTTATTATTGTGGAGCTTTGCTGTGCCACTCTGAGCCGTCCCCAAAATAATTTAAAATCTAGCAGAGCTCCTGATACATTGATATGGAAACAACTGCATGTTGTTGACAAATAGTGCTCTGGTGTTCTAACAAAAGAGGAAAAAAGTCTTGAAAAATCCACTGAGGTGTGCACTCATCTTCTCTAACTTCACAGAACTAAACACTTCCACTAATGTAAGATTTCTCAAAAATAAGTAATGTACATGTCCTGGATTGTTGAAAATCGATTATGCGAGACAGAATAAGATGCCCAGTCTTTTGTTTCCCTTTTTATTGTTGTTTTTTTTAACTGGATGCTGATCAATCTGAATAGCTGAGCACAATATTTTGATGTGTATGTTAAATTAATTAAAAAACTAAAACACACAAATAAAAGTCTCTAAATTTCAAACTATCTATACCTGAAATTCCTCAGGATATTCTAATTAGTGAAAGATTGGTTTGAAATTAGTATTTTCCGATATTTTATAATATTTTCCAATATTTTATATGTATCATTAAATTTTGATTCTGTGCTAAATCAGTTTGATTAGTGAATATACCCCACTGAGGGAAAATCTGATATTGCCTTGCTACATACAACAATGGGCTCGGTGCTGTCATTTAATTAACAACATTGGTTGTGATTTATTCTTTAAATTTTCTTTTGCTGGAAAAAAACCAATGTCAAATAGATGTATTTTCCAAACTGATTGAACTAATATACTATTGCATTTTCCAACACTACTGTCAAATGGTTTCAAGGATGAGAGAGAGAAAATAGCTTTGCTATTAGCTAGAACTCTAAACACGTTAGCAGGAAGTTTTCCATCCCTTATCTGGCTGTATATGGAGTGAGAGTGCAGGGTAAAAGCTGTCTTTGTGGTATCTTTGATGCTTAATTTAGTTATTATTGAGCTCAATTGATAGCTCAGTTATTCCCTTTCCACTTATTAGACCCCAAATACCCTAGCTGGGTAACTCGTTTTTGTTCTCAGGCAGGGCATTTCTATTCAGAGTGTTTGTAGCTCTGAATGCAGATTGCACACACCTTGTACCTCAGAAAAAGGTAGAAGATCTGCAAGAAATCTGTCAGAGTACAGGGCCACGTTATGGCTGGTGTGCCTTTGCCAGTTTGTTACCTACACCTGCATCAGAGGTTATTCCATTTCAACTTTTGAGTGCATGGAGAACCTGTTTTGCAATGCAAGACAGTGTGTGGGTTTTTCTTCTTTTCCCCTTTTTTTTTTTTTTGAATGAACTGCTTATGTTCTTGGGGCAATATATAAACTGTCACAGCATGAAATCAATTTTCTGCCTTGATTCATCCCAAATCTGAGATTTCTAGCACATTAGTATCGCAATTAGAAACATTAACAGCAGACGGTAGCATAAAAGCCCCACTCTGCTCACTGACAATTTAGTGCATTTCTCCTTGTGCAGAACGGGAAAAATCCGGGAAAGAACTGGCTCGAGGAGCCTTGCAACCCACTAATAAATTTATCAGCTCAAACTTGAGAGGAGGAGCGGGAAGTCTCTGCTTGGCGCTCTCCACGGTCATTGTGCTGGGGCAGATTATTCATGCTTACTTGATTCAGGTAGGCTTTCTGCAAGCTTCCCTGCTAAGCCTGGGAATGCCCCAACATTGAGGGCTATTCACAGGCTTCTGACACGGCCCGAGCTTTTATTGCCTGGTGGTTTTATTATCCCAAAATCCCGATCTCCACCCAGTTTGTAGGCGCTGTGCTCATTCTTTTGAATCGAGAGAGGTTATCACCTACCTTAATCCGTGCAGCAGGGTGGATTAAGGACACCAAATGTGCCTCAGGATTCTCAAAGAGGATCCTGGAAACTTCTTGTTTCTTCTTTTTTTGCTGTCTTTACTAAACTCTCTTGGGCCTCAGCGAGGATTTGCATCTGAAATGGGCAACCTGGAGCTTTTCTCAATGAAGACATCAGATCAAAGTTCAGTTAGTCAAGGCCTTTCTAAAACATTAAGGGGGCTTGGAAGTACACAATAAAAAGATGAGCTCTGGCAGAGATTGCAGTAAAAACATTCTGATCTGTAATCCGGATAAAGAATAGATTATAGGCCAAAGAACAGCCCCTGTTTAAATTGCTTTCAGAATCCTTGTCTTAAATAAAGTTACATTTTGCAATGAGAAATATTTAAATGTCGATAGAATGTTATGTTTTATTGGACTGCCTACTTTAAAAATCAGGTACCAGTGAATGAATTGGAACACCGACTTATAGAATGTGGTTTTCTGTCTTTTTTTAGTAAAATTGATTTGCCTCTTATGACTAGGTAGACGTAATCAATTTATTGGCTTTTTTTTAAATTAAAAACTAATTATTTGATTTATTAAAAGTTGGGGTTAGTTGGTTATTCTACTGTTTTTGTAGGAAAGATATTGTGTTATTGTTACTATTTATATGCAGTGATAACCAACCAGGCCTAACATCTATTAGTCAAATAAGTTCAAAATATTTAGCTGAAATCAAGTTGTTCTAATTAATCCTAACAGTTTAATATATTTTTTGTAAGCTTGTATTTGAATATTGAATATATTATATTGCATATGATAACAATCTGGGGGGGAGGTAATTTTACATGTGGAATTCAAACAATGTGCAGGTTGAGTGCTGAACTCCACTAATGTGGGACAAAAATGTGCATTCATTGCCTCTGTTTACTAGCACAACACATTCAAAATGTGTAATTCCTGTCCAGGTGTATTTATATAAGTTGGGGAGGTTTTATGATGTTTGATATACCCAAAATTGAGAGCTGAGGAAAATGTATCTTCGTTATGATAAAATGTGTGTCGTGCTCAACCTCTGCTATTTATTCCAATTTTAAGAAATTTAAAGTAGTTTTTAGCTATTTCCTGTTCTCTTTTAATTTAAATTAAGTATATGGGGATGCAGTGGTTTGGTTTTTTTACTGGCAAACAGCCTCAAAGTCAACTGAAAATATTTCTGTAGAGCCAAATAATTCCCAGAGACTGGAAAATCAGAGAGGTGGAACACATGGCTCGTGGCTCTGGGCTTTTGAAATTTGGGATCCTATGTCTAGAACACATGCAGAAATACATTCTTTTAAGTATCTGACTGCACTTTGGTGAGGCAACTTGGAACAGTAAGAGTTGAATTCTGTGTGAAAAATTCACGTTCAAGAATGTCAACAGGGGAACAAAAACTTAATAGTAAATATCTATAATGTTTTCTTATGTGAAGTTTTTACTTAAGCTGAATGGGAAAAACCATAGAGATTCCTTTCAGGTGGATTGCCAGTTTATTGTTTTATTCTGACAGACAATAATTGAGTGGGTTATTGTTGTTTCCGCAGGCCAGCCCGGCATCATATACAAAATTTGGCCATTATTATGACGTTTCCAAGAAAATGCCTCCAGAACTGATGCAGTCCGTAAAATCCCACAGCTTTTACCTTCACGAAGAACTGTCTTCACAGCCTGAAATGAAAACATGGTAAGTTGCCTTCCTGTTGGTGGCAGAGGATATTTTTGCATCCACGCTCGCTGGGAAAGGTCTGGCAGCCCCGCGTGGCTCGGGAACATCTCGGCTGTGGCCTCGTGTCAGCAGAGCCGCCGTGGCACCGAGACAGCCCCGCGCTCCTCAGCTGGGGGAGGAAGCGGAGTTGGCAGCCACAATTAAGGCAGACATTACTAGGACAGCCCAGGACACAGCTGCATGTTCAGTGCAGCCCTACTGACAGCTGAGTGTGTGGACTGGGGAGAGAACTATTGCTGTCTGTCTGAGAACTCCTCCCTGAGCACCGTCAGCTCCCCGAGGTGTGCGTGTCAGGTGGCCATCAGTCGTGGGAAGATATCCCTGCAGTTTTTAGGGCTGAGGAGACAGGCCATCCTTGACCTACATAGCTGAGAATGCTGCATCAGATCAGTTGATTGTGTGCTTTTGCTTCTTGAATCCTGCAGCTTCACCTGAGGAAAAATACAAATTGCTGCGAATAGAATTACGATCGCTAATTGCGTCTTACAAAACATTTCCTGTTCAAACGCTCCTCGGAATGAATAAGTTATTATATTTATGTTTATGTTTATCAGGAGGGAATTAAGGAAGCCCAAGAGAAAGGGTGGCAGTAGCTAAGACTCATATTAGGCACACATCCATTGTATCTTTGTTTCTGTGTCACGTGATCAAATGTCACTGCTTTGTAAAGGAAATTCTTGTGATGTCATTAAAAAAAACCCCAAAGCCACACTTCTAGGAGAAGGAAGAAAAGTTATATTTTATTCTTTATATTGTAAATATTTGAACAAAGTTTTGTTTATGTATTATGTATCATTACTTTTTTGGTTTTTTTTAGTAGCAGAGCAATAGAGGAGAGACACAAGAACATCTGACAGGTTGCAAGTGTTGCTATTGTTACTGAGTAATTTAACTCCCTTTCTGTCTTTTCTTTAGCTAACTAGGATGACTCATGGCTCTGGGCTTAATTCCACTGACTGTATGGCTGTCAAGTATTTGTTCATTTTACATTAAAATCAAATTAACTCATAAATAGAGTTTAGGAAATGGATTTTAACTTTTATGCATTTGATTTTATAAGCCTTACTTAATGCTGGTTATTGGGCTTGCGTGCTAGCCTGATAAAAGTTCATCATTCTTACTATATCAAGTAAGAATGAACTATTCTTTTTAGATTTCACCTAACAGAAAGATTGGATTTATTTAATTTTCATGGCAAATTGCTTGAAGCACAGAGCGATGGGGTGAGGAATGTGATCAATGATTTGCACAAGAAGTTGCTTTGCTGACAGGGGTTGGGAGTACTGTAGGATCTCCACGACTGAAAACGTCTCAGGACAAGTTAAGTAAATATCTGTCAGACCCACTGAGGCCCTTTTCATCCCTATTTTAGTGATTCTGTAATACATTTTAGTCATGATGTATTAAATCCAATACCAACTTATCAGTTATTTCACTGCTGTCAAAAAGTTCAGGCTTTTACAGAAACTCAGGAGATTGGACTGGGTTTTTGTTTTTGGTTTGTTTGTTTTTTTTTTTACAAATATTCTGATGAAATTCTGAAGGAAGCATTCTTTTTCTCAAGGAATGAAAACAAGCTCAAGAACCTCTCGGGATGATTTAATTAAAGAAAGTTTATAAGAGCATATAACTGGTTCTCAGGCTATGGTTAGATGTATAGCCAAAAAAAAAAAGACCTGTTGATTTTCTTTCAACTTAATTTATCAAAAAAAGAGTGGCAGGAAAACCTATTAACACTGGAAGCTGACACATCCTTCAAAAAATAAGGAGATATTTTTAAGAAAGGGGATTGAAATAATTTACGTTAATAGGCTGTATAATATGAGGCATTTGCAAAAGATTTCATAACTTTCTAAAGGGTATACTTTGCAAGATATGTATCAGTGAAGACATTTCTGAATGAAGTTTTCTCCTAAATTGTGTAGGCTTGCAGACCAAAGTCAGTGGTGTGTTGTGGGGGTTCTTAAAATCTGAGAATGTTTTGCTTTTGTCACCGATGCAGGGGTTGAAACCAACAGTTTTGCCTAGTATATGGCTTTCCATGAGTAAATGATATTGTTGTTGAGGAATGATGCCTCCTTTTATAGTGTCAGAAGTTGCAAAAAAATTAGGAATTAGCTGGCAGAAAGAAGAGAAACTTTTCCCTCTTTTCAATATGTTTCCACATTCGTTCAGCTAGCATGGTCCATTCTAAATACTTGTAATGTTTAATGGTTTAAGCTGAAATAAATTGGTATTTTCCTACAATTTTTATAGTCCTATAACTACAGCCATTGAAGAGGCACCTTATATTAGGTGGTCATCACGGAACGTGCACCTAACCAAATACACAACGTTCTACGTTAAGGTCATGAGCAATGGCTGGGCTGGTAATTGTAAATAAAGATTTTTAGAGGCTCAGCACACTTTTTATTGCAGCTTTTTGATTAAATTATCGTACCTACTGATGTGAGCAAGGCGCTCCCTCAGCAGTGCCCTATGTGGAGGGAGTTTTTTTTTCTGTTTTCCTGAGGGGGACCTGCTACTTTTGTGTGTAATTAATGTTCCTCAGAGAATGTGCTTAATCCATAACTTGTTAGGCGCACCCAGAATTCACCTTGTTGACCAGCCTTACTTTTGCCTTTCCTTTTGTGTTATGGGGTGAGTAGCTTTGGAGGAACTTAGGTTTCATGCTTCCTCCTTAAAATTGGAAACACTTCTCTTTCCCCACCCTCCTTTTCTTTGGGAAGGGGTAGGGAGCAAGAGCAGTCCTTTGCTCTCCTTTCCTTTCATCACTCTTTGATGTAACAACAGAATATGCAGTTATAGCAGAAAATATACAAAAAAAGTAATGTACCTTCCTTTGCACCTACCTTTTTTTATGCAGCTTATGCTCTCCTGCCAGAAACAGTGAACACATATTTTCCAACCCTTGGAAAAACGATGCTGCCTCTTTTAGTAAGCAAGGTCCTGTGTCATAATGTTTGGGGCATAAGAACCGTTGAAGAATTAAGGCTAATTCTCCAGCTTCACATTAAGAAACACATTTTATTTAAACTGTTCTTCAGTGAGTGAACTGTCTCTGTAATTGTAGCCGGTGTGTGATAGTTACTGTGCAGGATCACAGATGTAGAGACTTTATATGGGCCAGAAACTCTTGGCCCTTTGAGAAATCTTGTGTATTTATACATATGGCTCTCTTCCTATCCACACAAGCACTTGGCTTCTTTGTGGACTTGGAAGGATAAGTCGCTGGCTGATCAGACAAACCTGACCTTTTACTTTGCAGTTCAGGATCAGTTTTGGAGATGATCGACATCCTTTGTTCACCTTAAAGTTCAACCTTCCGTATCTTTCCTGTGCTTTCTCACACCTGTGTGTATCTGGTTTGTGATGGAGGGAGCAGTGCTGTGTTTGCTCCCCTTTCTGTGGCTCTGGTACCTGGTGGCTAAATGAGATTACAGGATCCCCTCTTTGGATAATCACTCAAGAATTTACAGAAGTTCATTTCCCCACGATAAGCGTTAATAGAAAACAGATCGTGAAGTCGGCTCTCCTAAAGGAAGCAGTAAATGGGACTGGTTGGTTTGTGCCAAAAGAAGGCAGAAACCTCCTCTTTCTTATCTCATTTTTTATGTTGGGAAGGGCAGTTATGTCCTGGTGTTAATGCAGGGACTGGGCTGACAGGGTTGTGTGGCCGAACAGCAACTGTTTTCCAGTTGTTGTTGCCAGGAGATCGTGGGGTCCTTTCTGTTGCATTGCTAAAGCTCGTCCTCAACAGGAAGGCAGAAATATTCCCTATGGTAACTCTGTGCATCGCAGACAAGAGTTATTTTCCATCTCTTTACATCTATTCTCATTCTTCCATTTCAATTACCAAAAGAGAAGGTTTGATAATCCAAGGACCTAAAATAATTAAGCTGTGGTTCTTCAGTAATTCTGCGAAGTTTCACCTTAAGAATGTGTGTGCTTTTGAAAAAAGAACAAATTTATCTGGAGTCTAGATTTACCAATAAATTTAGATAAAAGAGGTTTGACTGTCTTGCCTAATGGGGTCTCCTTATACATAATAAGGCTATTTGTCATACCCTTGATAACCTAACCTTTGTTAACTGCTTGGAAACTATCAGCAGAGAAGTCAGAGGCTTTGTTGTAACCAGGATACCTTCTTGCCAGCTCCTGCTTTATGCATTACCAAATTGCTAAAAAAAAAAAAAAAAAAAAAAAAAAAAAAAAAAAAAAAAAAAAAAAAAAAAAAAAAAAAAAAAAAAGAGAGTAAAGAAGGGATTGTTTAAACTCATTATCAGAATTAAATGATGTTTAGTAACAAAGCCAAAAAAAAGCCTAGAAATAAGAAAATAAGAAATATCTTATTTCCTTCTTAAATATTATGGCAAGCATTGCCAGAAGGGTAATGCAACTTCTTTATAAAAATGGTGTTCCCACAATATTTTTCATGTTCTTATTTACATAGCTTGGTTCAAATTCAAGTAAACCATTTGTACTTCAGCAAGAGGTAGAAGAGCACCTGTTTTTACTTTTTTTTTTTTTTTTTAATCTGTACGCAAAACATTATCTTTTTTAATTCTTTGCTGCAAAAGTTTTTCTGATGTAATTAACTGAGGATCTATTTTATTTGTTTGTTTTAATTTTGGGACCCTTTAATCCTGCTAAGTGCTTTAGTTATTTTTTTATCCGTTAAGTTTTAACAACAAGGACTCTGTTGTGGGCATGTTGTGATAATGTGAAGTCACAGGGAGAGAGAAGACGTTTTGGCTACCATGGGGGCTGAAGTTTGCCCTGTAAACTGGCACCTGCCAGGCAGGATAGGTATGACATTTGATAGCCATTCCTTTGGCAACTAACACTAGGAAAGTAATGGACTTCAAAAGTTCAACTTTCCTGTCTGAGATGTTCTTTTTCTGTATAGCAAGGCAGACTTCACACGTTAAATACCATGTTGAGATTATATATTGCCTGTTAATTTTCAGCTCTGAATTTCATAAAGGGTATTAAATTATTAAGGTACATCGGTTTAACCATTGGCTTTTTAGGGTACTAAATCTGAAAAAAAATTGAGTTTAATTTGGAGACTCTTCTTTGTGATTATATCTGAGAAGTGTCATCTCAGCGTTTTCTGACACGGAGTATTTCAAAACTCAAAGTTATTATGGCCATAAAGCTTTTTTGTTTGTAGATATTTATAACTCAAATGTATCAGGAGGCTGGTTTTGAATTGATACTGTATTCTTGAAGGAAATACAGAATTTTGAGTTGGAGCAATGGTGTATGAAACAGATCACTGCAACTCTTACAAGAAGTTGTCTCCTCTCCTGTGCCAGAGGATGCAAGCAAGTTTGTTTGGGTTTCTTTAGGTATTAATTAGTAAAATGTTTTTGGGTAACAGTCTTGGCTCTTATTAAAGTGAGGGGAATAGTTTCATTAACATTTGGACCAAGTGATCTTTCAGGGTTCCTTCCAACCTGGGCTGTTACCAGACCAGATATACAAAAGATCAAAGCAAATGAGAATATATTTAGAGGCAAAATTTCCAAGATAACCTGCCATATTTCTCAAGGAGTACACAAGAAGGTTTGAATCCACAGGCCTTGGTGGTAATTAGTGAGACTTGAAGGAAATGTCAAAGCCAGGAAAGATAAAAGGGCTTAAGCTCTCCACTGCACTAAGGAACCCCCATCAAACCCAGCTCCCCAGGCCAGTATGCTCTGTGGGGTTTAAGAGAACAGTGTGTCTCTTGTAGAAGTGAACAACTGGCTTGCTTTTTGAAAGTAAAGATTATTAGGGCTTTCTGTCCTTTGTATGTGTTAGCCTGGGAAGTGGAGGAGAGCACAGGCAGGTTGGACAACTGAAGTGTTTGGATGTGCAGGAACCGGACCCTCTCAAGTCTTTGACGAGATGATTTGCTGAACCTTCATTTTGGTTTTGAGTCTGCTTAACTCCATTTTCAGCCACCAGTTCTGCGTTTGTGTGTTTGCTTGAACCTTGTGTTTTGTAAATAATACCTAAAATAAACGCTGCCTCGCAGTGTTGCTGTCACACAGATAAAGCAGTGAAAAGGTATGAAAGTTTTCATAGGAAGTCAACTCTTCCTCGGGGCACTGAGTGGGTTGACTTGGAATAAGGGTTGGGTCGATCTTTGTCAGCTACAGAAGATTAGTCCTGTGCTGTAAATGGTTTCAACTTTAAGTTGATAACATTAAATCATTAATCTCCTAGATGTAAGCGAGCCTGACATAATTAAGTTATCTTAATCCCTAGAGAGTTTAGCTTTCACTGAACGAGTTAACACGGAGCAATCACGACTGCTTATAATGTCAGCTTTATTCAGAGAGTTTGGGGTGGTGTTTTTTTTCAAGATACTTGCACTGAGAGCTGCATCTGCTTATATTTGGATTTTTTTGCAGCTGTTAGAGAGCATTAAAATGTGTAACTATACTCTTTCTTCTTGCCAACAGTAACATGAATGGTGCTTATGCCAGGCTGCTTCAGTCCCTTCAGAGGACCATTTCCCAGGGAGGGTTTGATGGCTCTGATCCCCAGGTACCCTCATACTCTTCTATCATCCTGTAATTAATGTTTTGTGGATTTTTCAAGAAGCTCTTGGACGAATTAACAAGGAGCAAACTGTTTCTAAGCGTTGCCGAAGTAAAGCAGCAAAACAAATGGTGTTGTTCGTATTCTAATGGGGTTTTGGAGTTTTTACCTGTTACAGATGTGCAGGCCACGTAAGAAAGCATCAGCAAAATGCATATTCTGTGCAATTAGCTAATAAATGGATGGCCAAATATAATGTAATTAAGCAAAACACATTTTCTCCTACAGTATTTTTTTTTCAAATTATTTTTTTTCATATTGCTTTAACAATGATGTGCTCAAGACCTTTGAGGTCGAACATTTATTCTTAAACTTTCAGGCTTTTTCAGTGTTGTAATGTTGTTTCAACTGGAATGGAGTTAATTTTTTAATTAAATGGTGGCATCTTTATGTAGTGAGCATTGAAACACAAGTAAAGAAATAGGAATGCTGTTTCAACTTACAAATCAAGAGACTTGTAAACATCTCTGTACTTTCCATAAATCACACTGTGGGTAACCAAAAACATTTTTAGTGTAATAACATAGACTGAAAGCCCTTTTCTAATATGAGCAGTGCCCTCTAAGTTGTTTTTTGTCATAGTCAGTACCATGTGAGTCCTTTGGAGTCGGAAATAAAATAATAAATTTTATATGTTGGTGTTTCATTGGTAATTGCTGTTGTTCAATAGAAATGTTACTGTAGTAGAAATCAGTTATATGGGTTCTGGAAAGCCTGAAAGAATGTAACACAAGACTGCGTGCTATTATCAGTCTACCGTCTTAGAAATCATATTTTCAGGGAGGATAATGTTGGAAGGGTGGTTTTTGTGTCTGACCGAATGTTTCAAAAACATTCCCTGCGCAAATTTAGGTTGTTTGTGCTCAGCGTTCCGCCTCTGCTGAGATTTCTGGGAGGGCTTTTCCTTCCCTTTGGTGGCAGTGCCAGTCTGGAGGAGGAAATTGGTCCCCACTCTCCACGGTAGCCATGGCAACAGCCGTGCGTGTCATCGGCAGAGATGCTCCTCCCGCTCGGTGACAGGGCCCGAGTCAAACAAACACCCTGCCAGCCTTCAGCCTCCTGCTGAAGGGACCAGCCTCTCATTTTTTATATTCCTGATGGTTGTTTTTTGGTTGGTTGGTTGGTTTTTTTTCCGTTCGGAGCCGATATTTGGGTGGGTTTTGCTTGCAACCAGGGGGGAGTTAAACATCGAGGATCGTTTTTTTTCCCATACTTGCTGTTGTTGATTGTCTCAAAACGTCTTGCTAAAGGACCTATTGGAGTTTCCGAGGTGAAGCTTTAAAAAGTTAGAAAAGTCCTTTTTTTTTTTCCAGGCCGGTTTATTGATTTTAGAGAGCCATTAGCACTTGTGTAGTTCTTTCTGTTTCAAGGATTTCCTGGAGTGGTTTCTATTACTTTCTTGTAAGATTCCACCCTTCCCCGTGCAACATCTCTCTTTTTACACTCAAATTTTGTGCTTTTAGAAGCCTTGTATAATACACACTTCCTGAAAATATATGCAGGGTCGAATGTAGTTATGACCCAGAACACACCTTGGATATTTTGTATGCTAAATCTATGAGCAGTTCACCTCTCTGCTACTTCATACCATCTTCTGTTTCCTGAGCCTTTAGAAGTACTCTTTAAGTAGGCAGATATGAAGATTGAAGTATAAGGACCAGCCTGGATTCTTCTGGACCTGTGTCCTTCCCTGTATATAATGATAAAAGCTTTTGAGGAGTCTGTGCCTGCCCTACACCCCCAAATAATCCTGACTGGTAAAACTTTCAGATGTTTTTGGCTATTTTCACGTGAATGTGACAATGATACTCACATTTACCACTCCTTTATTCGAAGAGAGGTCTGAAGAAAAGTGAGAATGTGACTCAGCCCAGCTGAGAGAGATGATTTGACACAATTAGAAAAATTAGTGAATACTACTGTTAGAAGTTTAGTAGATCTCTGATAAAATGCTCAGGCTTCTCTAGGACCTGCTATGGTGAGTTAACAGTAGTTTTATAGAACCATCTGCAGTTGACCTTCACAGATTAATATATTTTGACTGTCCTGCATGGCTTTGTGGACCTTAGGACAATAATTCAGAGAAGTTTGGTTGAAGTTGACCAAAAAATGTCCTTTTAGTTCACACTGACTGCAGCTATTGCCAAGGTCTGTTTGGAAATGCAAAGTCTGGATGACCTGTAAAATACAAATACAACCATCAGGTTTGCATCCTTTCTGAAGCCTCCTAGTAACTCTTTGCTGCTGGTCATTAAGTTTGGATCCTTTATAAATTGATCATGGCTTTCAGTTATAAGGAATAGTATTTGTTTGTTTCAGAATATTTGGGGTTTTCATGTTTGGCAACAGAGCTTGCTTAGGCAACTGTATTTCCTTAACAATTCTTTCCTCTAGTTTGGACTTGAAGTTGGGTGACCTTCAGAGTAATAAAGTTGAGGGGATTGGTTTTTTGTTTGTTTGGAGTTGGGTTTTTTTTAGTTTTCATAATGAGAATCCTTGCTGCCAAGTCGATCAGTGTTACAAAAATTACATGAAAAAAAATAGTAATTAAAAAAAAAATAAAATCAGAACTTCCAAACTAATGTGAGTATAAAAGATATAGTGGTATAGCTAAAAAAATGTTATCCTAGTCTTTACAGTAAGATTGTTATAGAATATTAGACTTAATCCTTTCCTATATTTCAGTTATGGAATAAAGTGTTTGTGAGAGCCTTGTGGGCTTGACAGAATTATACTAGTAGAAGTTCCATTACTGGCCAAAATAAATACATCTGATATTCTCTGGTGTTAGAATAGCTTTATCTTTTACTGCTCTTATGATTTAATGTTGGGGGAAAAAAAGCATCTGTCATCCTTTGTCCAGTGAGAGAACTGGTTTTTTCCTCTTTTTGTATGTTGTTCTTGCGGATATTCTTCATAAGAGAAAATGTTTTTCTCATGAAAAAAGTTTCTGTAAGTTTTATATATATGTTTGCTCTGAAATTTTGAAATACTGTACACATCAAGAATTGCCTGAATCTGCTCTGATTAGAAGTAATTGAAGAATATTATGCTGACTTCTGTTTTCCCTGTTCTTTTTAAAACTCTGAACATCTGAGCCCAGAAAATACCATACAGAGAAATCAGATTGTGTCACATTATCCTGTGCTGTCGTCCTGATCTTCACACAGTGGTGTAAAAAGTTAACTTTTCACAGCTAAAGCCTAAAATCCTGCAAAGCCTGAGACTGGAGAATGTGCCAGAGTTAAAACACAGATTGCTTTCACAGAGATTGTGAGTGAATTGGCAGATCAGCTCGCTGGGTAAGACAGACAAGTTGGATAAATGCAGAGCCATGTGGAATTAAACCGAGTCTCACAACTCAGGCTCTGTCTGCCCAATATGGATGTGGAAGTGTTTGGAAAAGGAGCCTCTTGTCTTGTCAAAACCTTTCCTCTGGATTGCCAGAGCAGCTGTGCAGTGTTCTGTGCTTGCTGGTTGCTGTTTATTCCAGCTGTTGGAAGTCAATACCTACACTTCTCTGGAGTAAAAATTACCAGAAAGCTTTTGTTTATCAAAACTAGTATTTTTATATGTATATATGTGTGTGTGTGTATAATTTTAAAAAGCTGGCCTTTAAGTATGAACCCTGAACTCTAGAAATGTTTCTCTGATCACCTTGTACAGGAAGTCTTTCAACAAGGGAGTTTATTGTCTCTCTCTCTCTCAGCTGTTGATAGCAAATAAACCTAAAACCCTCCTCAAAGATCACCAGGAAAGGTCACACATCAGATAAGCAGAAATGAGATTTGCCATCACGAGAGATAACATTTTTACTTTGCATAAATAGATTACAACTCTGGCTTCATAATCTGTCCCTTCAGAAAAGGAGCTTCCTCTTTGCCCCTGTGCCTCTGTTGGATGCTCTTCTGCCAGTGCCCTGCAGGGCAGCCAGCAGGCTTTAGGTGGCTAACACAGGGGGCTGGGTAGGATTTGATGTGTCACAACAGCTTCCAGTGCCCAGCAGGTAACTAAAACAGCCCCAGAAACACTCATGTCGAGAGCTTGGAGAGAGGTGTGGTCCTTAAGGGACAATCTACTGATGTCCCCATCGGACTCTGTTTCTCCAGCACCTTCCTTCATGAGCTGGAAGGAGGGATGTGGAAGATGCTTAGATACTTCTAAGGCAGTGAAAGGCCCCTGCACTGGGGAGGTGAGGCACTGACCTTGATCCTTTGGAGGCAGCAGAACAGTCAGGTTAGGAGAGTAACGCAGGAAAGGTGAAAATAGAGAGAAAAGTTGCGTTTGATTCCTCTCAGGCACTTGCAGCAGACTAGTTTGGAACTGGGAGAAAATACTCTTTTGCATGTTTTTTTTTAAGGCAGTGATAGAGGAGAGAAAGGATATCAAAAGTCCCAGTGTTACTGGGTTTTGTGTCAGAGCATGCTTGCATTTAGCTGGTTAAAAAAAAAAAAAAAAAAAAGCAAATTAGCACTTTCTGTATTTCTGTGCTGTCTCTTACATTTGTACTTCCTTGTCTGACATGGCAGGATATCCAGTCAGTGAAAAAAATGCCATTCCATTTGTAATTTTTGCAAGATGGACTGAGCTTAGGGTGTGATTACGTAAACTATGCAATTATTATATGGATACGCATTCTAGAAACTGTATTCCTCCTAACATTTAAAAAAATAACATTACTTTTTTTTATTATTATTATTTTCTCTTCCAATAGAAAAAACAAAAGAATGTTTTGCGGATAGGAATTCAGGGCCTGGGTTCCCCGCTGTGGGGTGATGACGTTTGTTGCAGTGACGCTCCTGAAGATGTTCACAGCCTTACAAAATTCCTGTACGTTCTCCGTGGCCTCCTCAGGAAATCTTTGTCAGCCTGCATCGTCACAGTTCCGGCTCACCTCATCCAGGTAGGATTTCACAGCTGGATTTCACAGCTGACGCAGCAGCGAGCCAGAACTTCGGAGTTCATGGTAGGAAAACAAACGCAGTTTTGGACATTTCTAAAAGTCTTTCAGTTCAAAGTTGAAGTTAAAACTGTCAGAATTTCAGAAGCTGTAAAAAGGAAAGAAAATACTGGTAGTCCTCCCTTTTTTTTAATTATTCTTTTACAACGTCTCTAGGCGCTTTTTCCAGTGCCTTCAGAATGCTGTTTGGAGTTTCAGTACGAGACTTTTCACCCCTGTCATGCTCGTTGTGGTGATGTGCGATCTTGTTTTTAAAAAGTCAGGAATTGAAAGGTACAGGTTTACTCTGTAGTTCTGATATCCCCTTGCGTTGGGACCAGGAGCAAACCAGTTCAGGTGTCAGAGGAATTTTCCCAACAATCATAAGCAGCTCGTAGCACCTTTCCTGAGAGTACGTGGAGATTTAAATGTACCTTCTGAAAATAATTTTTTTTTTTTAGCAAAAGGAAAAATGTGGGTAAGTCTTTTGTTCCACCGAGTGGTAATGTAACTTAGAAAAGCAAAATTATTGTTCACAAGGAGCAGAGAACCTATAATTTTAGATATTTGATTTAATTATAGTAAAAAAGTACTGGGTAAAACCTCATATTATGCAGAATGTTTGCATAGTAGGTGAGTTTATCAACAGATTAAATCCTGTCTTAGGTAAGTACATGACTCACATGTATTAGATTTTGTGAAAGGTGTTTGAATACCTGCAGATGTTATTTATCCAGATACCCTGTGCACTTTCAAAAATGAAGAAACTGTTTTCTGGTTTTACCACTGGGGTGAAAAGTGTATCAATATTCCTCTTGCAGTGCATACCTCCACCTCCTTATTTCTAAATATTAAGTGGCAGTTTGCCTTCAAAAAGAGTGACAGTTAAATTTAATGCAGAGTGTAAAAGAACCATCCAAGATTTTGCCCATTGGGATTGCCCCTCCATAATTGGGGCTTACATCTCATTCGCTGTGCTCTTCTTTATCTCTCATTTCAGTAACAGGTACGTTCGTATTTTAGAGAAATCCAGAAGCGTCTCTAAGAAACAAACTGCAGAGTGAAGTTTTTTCGTTCATTTCAAACCTACCTGGGAAGTTGATTTGTGTTTCCTGTTTGTAAATTCCACGTAAACCAATTCCCAGGGAGTTGGGAGCGAAATTAGAAATTACACATTGCTTTTTCGGTTTTAATAAAACCGGCTTTACAAAAGGAAGTGCTAGAATATTCCAAATAAAAAAAAAAAAAAAAAAAGATTATTAAGATAATTTAGAAAACCTTTGTTGAGCTTTTTTTTTTTTTTTTTTAAATCCTGAAACTTGGTGTATCCCCCCCTTTGAGCCACCACACCGTGGAGCAAACCGTCATTAGGAGGAGCAAAGCTGCTGTGAGGGTTCCTTCTACCCCACATTACTCAGTTCCCAGAGCCCTGCTGTGTAGTTGTTCCACTCTCCAAGAAGCCTGTTAAAGAGCCCCTGAGAGCATGTGTCCAGCCCCCCATGTTAATGGTTAATTGGTGAGGATGGCGAGATGAGAGGACAGCCGAACATGTGGTCTCTCAGGCTCGAGCCGGAGACAGACCTTTGGTTATAATAACAGCAGCTGCTCACATTCTCACAGCCCAGCTCCTCGCCATTCTGTTGCTGAGGGTTTCTTGCTGGATTAAAAAAAAAAAACAAAAAAACAAGTGAAGGAAATATCTTTTCTTTCCAAGAGAATAAGAGACAGGGATTTTTTTAATTTATTTTTTTTTCCTCCCAAGTGCATTTCTGTATATGCATTTAATTTGGTAGGAGTTCTGTTTTATGTTCCAGCATATGCTTTCTCTGTTGAGTCTTAAAGTCAGCACACTGAAGCACATCATTTTGCTGAAGATGTAGTAAATCCCACATTTTTTTTTTTACTATATTTCCCTACGTTAACTTTTGGCTCCTGACTGAATTAACTGGGTGGTCCACGAGTAAATTCTTCACGTGTGTGATTTCCATGAAGGACGTAGAAGCTCAAAATCGCATTTAATCCTAGTTTCATCTGCATGACATACACAGAAAAAGAGTTTTCATTTTTACCTGCTTGATCATGAAAAAGTAGATTTTTGGTAGTGACTCCTACCATATCTTGTCTCTGCCAGCCCCCAGTACTAGTTAGTCCAGTGAAGAAGAAATAAAACTCACAATTGGTGGTACTGATTTTTCAACAGGGGCACTCTCTTTTCAACCCAGAGTAGTTACATTTTTATATGCACTATATTAATAGTATATATATATATATAATTTGAGATTGTTTCCTTTTCTGTATTTTTCCAAATATTTGCATGTATTCATGTGGTCAGGGAGCTCCACAATTTAAATCTACCCCGTTTCTTTCTTTTTTTCAGGAAGCTTAATTTTGCCTTTACTTTCCATATATTATATCTTTGTTCTTGGCTGACAGGACATTAAGATGATCCTCCCTATTTTACGTTTTTTGTGTTCTGATTTGTAATTTTTCCTCACGTTGCCTCCTTAATCTGTTTTTAAACAGTCATTTTACCTTGTTTCAGTAACATAATTCAGTAATGCCATTATTGTTTGCTTACTTTTCCTACATTCTAATGTCTGGTTTGAGTCTTTGGTGACTACTGGACATTAAACAGTGATTTTGTTCTTGATGTTTTTCCCTCTGTGATACACATCCACCAATGTGGCTCTTTCATTATTCCAGCAATTCATTGTCTTGGATTTAATAACTTGGAATTGCATTTATCCAAAGATGGTGCTCATTCATCCAGCTTGGTGGGACACTGAACGTCCTCACAGTTTTCTGTATTTTGGTAAAAGACACAAATTTGCAAAAAAAAAAAAAAAAATCTGTTTATGTGCAGGTTTTTTTCAGGGTAATTTAAAGAAACCGTGGTCCACTAAAGCACACAGATTATTTTGTGTTTTATTGATGAAACTTTTGGTGCAACCAGCACACGAAGAGAAAAGAAAATTATCTTTTCTCAACCGCAAAAAATAGGAGTACCTTATTCTGGGAGAAGATTTAAAGCAAATGGCACGAAAAAAAAAAAAGAAACTTAGCCAATTATGAATTTTATTCAGATGATGTGTGACAAGTTTTTACTTGATTGATATTTTCTACCGACTGAACACACTCTTATCTTACATTGTCTGTCAGGTGATAAATATTGAGCTACTCACGAGTATGATTAAAATAGTTGATGGAAGGTTATTTTTCAAGTCTTCCTACTGCTTCTTGGAAATGCATTGTGCCTGTGAAATCATATGGTACATTTGAAAAGGGAAAATTACTTCCGTTTTTAAAATCCAGCATTGATCGAGGAGGGCAGATTGGAGAGGGATTTCATTTGTTGTTACAATTTTCAAATTTCAGGAATATTATAAAGGCAAGAGAGAACTCTTCTTCTGTGTGTTATTAATCTGTGCATTTTAATACCTAAATTTAGCAAAAGAATTATTGTGCTGTTGTGCGACTTAGAGGACTTTATTGTCTCTGGCTTATTCTGCAAAAGCCCTAAACTAAAATTTTAAATATTTTCCTATTGTATTTTTTTCTTAAATTGCTAGGAATCTTTGGAAAGTCCAAGAACATCTTTCCCTCAAAATACTAAGTAGGGTTGTTAATTCTATCCCTGTTCTTCCCACTTAATATTCTTTTTTTTTTTTAGTAGATTATTATTTTCACTGGGAGAAAGCATAACACTTGTTAAAGCCACCCTTTATTTTGAACTTGAAGCTGTTTTACTGGTAAGGACTAACAACTATATTAGTCAGCAAGTACCAGGGGAAATTAATTGACTAATGAAAAGTCAGTATGAATAAGTCTTGCCACAGAACCTGTCCTCAGAGCCTGCAGTTCTGTTTAGCAAGGTATTTTCATCATCTCATCCAGTCCGTTAAAAAATTCATCTCCTACAATATTAATGTCCCGATGTTTTGAATCCACTGGAGTGCAGAAGTTACTCCATGTTTTCAGTGGAGGAAAATTCAGAAACAAACCTTTCCACGTCCTTTTGTGCTCACCCCCAGTAATTTAACAGCTGAACTCAAAGTCAAGCAGTAAAGTGCTTTAGGATCCACTGCTAATATGGGATTATTAAGATGTGAGCTCCTCTAGCTTGTGAGTTTCTCGCAGTTTGAAATCTTTATTGCTGTGACAAGAACTGAGAGTGATTGCCTACCTTAGAGTCCCAACTTCTGAGAGTTCACCGGTGTAAAATGCTGAATAACCTTCAGAGGTGTTTGGTGAGGTGGCTGCTGCAGACAGATTTGTGTTGAGATCAAATGTCATGTGGTTTCTGTATCATAATTAAGGAACCTTTCAAAGTTCTCTGAAAAGTAGAAACTATGAAGGTGAAATGGTCTTAATATTCTTCTATTTTTTTTTTAACTTGCTTTTTAAGGTTGCGTGGTGCTTTCTGTTGTATGTGAGAAATACAGTTTAACAACTGTAAAAAAAAAAATATTGAGAGTCATAAGTTTAGGAGATGTATTCTTGGGTTATCCACATCACTTTTGGATATGAATATTCTGGGTTTTAGACATTAATAAAAACATCTTTAAAATTATGATTGAGTAGGAAGCTCAGAGAAGTACAGTATTCACAGGTTAAATTATGGAACATAATAAGTAAGTTGGGTTTGGTTTTTTTTTTTTCAATTTCTCTAATTGTTGAAAGTATTTGCTAATGAAGTTGCAGGAGAAATGGAAGTGTTTTGTTGTTTCACAAAATAAGGTTTTGTTTGCCAACAGGCTGTGTTCTAGCACTATCACTTCTGATTTGGTAACAACCACCTATATGTTATTGTCTTTTGACTGAATTAACTGTAGTACCAAGCACAGTCACATTGTCTGTTAAAAGTCAATACGTAAAAAAAAAACTTCTCATTTTAATAAATTTTACTTTTTGGGAGGCCGCTGTATACACACCCTTATCACCACCTCATCAACGCCCTCTCTTTA